ATTAATCCTCCCCCCCCCCCCCCCCAGCCCCCCCTTCTATACCTGGGATTTGCTCATTCTGCTTTTCGGTAAGAGATAAATGAGTGGGTGGGTGGGGGTGGGGGTGTGCAGGAAGGGACGAATTTGGGAGAGGGGCTCGGACTGGTTGGGAGTATGGGGTTAGGAAGAAGATGATGGTGGAGGAAAAAAAGAGTATTTGAGATTCTAGAAAATATGTAGTAATTTTTATGGCATTTGTAAATGTGTGGCCTTCTTTTAAATTATGCTTTTCATGTAAGTAAATTCCTCAAATATATTATTCAACTGCTTACAATTTTTGCATATTTGGTTTTCGTTCATGAATTTTTTTGGTATTCGAGAGGTTTAATTTTATTCCTTTTCGCGAGAAACTTTTGCCTCATATGTAGCACAGATGCGTTGAGCCCTTGTTTGAGCCCCATTTTTCACAAAACATGGGTTTTGTAATAGTATTTTTTTGGAGGATGTATGATTAAAAATTAGGAAAAGTTTTGGATTTACATGCAAATTATTTTATTTTAAAACGTGTAGTTGAACATTTTTTTGAGAAAAAAATGAGTTTTTAAATAATGGACTCAAATAGGAGCTAAAAATTTGAATTGGTAAAAGAGTTCTTATCATCAAACCATTTCCAGAATGGTGATGTCGTGAAGTTTTAAATTTTTGCAGTTTAGTGAATATAAATAAATGCAAATTTTTTCATGCTCCATCTCCATTCATAAATTAAGATACAAAACTTTACTGTATTCTGCGTGAACAATTAATTGCTCCAAATTAATAATTATACTGGAATCTGTAAAATGCTTTATTTCATGCTCCATTACGAAAGCTCTGTCTATTTACGAAGAAAATTGACAAATAATAACAATAAGAATAAAAAAAAGTGGAAAGCACTGTGTCTGAAATTCAAAACAGTTATTTTATTATTTTGACCTATTTCCATAGAATCTCATCTCATGTGCCAAATACGTGCATAAAACATAAGGATTTTGGATGGTAAAGAATCTAATTCAACATAATTTCGAACGAGTAAAACTTGATCTATCGTTTAATTATTTGTTGAAATATTACCTTTTTGAGTATTAAAGCATGGAAATGACTAAATCATTTTACTTAATATAGTAGAACTTTCTTACTTTTCTGCTGGTTAACTAATTACAAAAATGAATTAGAACTTGATATGTTTTTATATAATTTATTCTGTAATGGTCATATATTGTATTCATCATTTACATTCTATATCAAGCTTTTATTCAACCTATACTTGCACATAAATTTGTGTTGATTTATTTCTTTACATTTATGTTGATGTATCATGATGTACTGATTCATAAATTTTTTGAAAACTGACGTATTGTTATATTTATGTTGCATTATAGTCACTGCATGTATTCATATTCATATTTCCTATTTTCTGTTTCCTAAGGAGACATTGATGTCTTTGGTGGATTTTCTCTCCTCCTATAATTCATTTTCTCCCTATTTTGCAAGTTTTTTAGGCACCAATCTAACATTGGGCTAGAACTCCAGTTATCCGAGGATCTTTTATCCTTTGCTCAACTATTTGGAATGAAGTTTTATCTATGATCTCTAATATTTATCAGAAGTAGCAATTGTGGTATCATTTTTTTTTTGTTTTGGCATGCCTAATCTACATTTATGTGGATGTTCTGTTACCAAAAGGACTTCAACCCATCAACAAAGCATAGGGTGACTCTCAATCATACATAGCAAAAGAATTTAATAACTGAACTCTAGAATGTTATATA